TCTCTCTCTCTCTCTCTCTCTCTCTCTCTCTCTCTCTCTCTCTCTCTCTCTCTCTCTCTCTCTCTCTCTCTCTCTCTCTCTCTCTGTGCACCACCATACATACACAGCAATTGAATAAAAAAAATGCAAAATGCACTGCCCCTCCCCACCAGCGCGACTACCTGCGCCTCCCCCCCCAAAGGTGAGTCTACCTGCCATCGTTCACGAGATTTCTGTTAACTTACACTCCAAAAGGGAACAACTGCGTTACGTTCTCGTCTATCCTCTCCTCTGGTCGTTGCCTGCCAGCCCCTCATAGAAATGCTAGCCCGCCGGTCATTTTTCTACACCTACCAATGTGAGTACTCGTCTACTCGTCAAATCACCTACCCGTCGATTTGTAGAAATTCACTGCCCCTAACATTGAACAAGGAGAGTGGAGAAGACACCACCTCTTCTGAAGGAGGCCTGACCCAAATTTTCTTTGTCAAACCACCAGTACCTTTGAGCCGCCTTTTCCCAACACGGCGGATTTGCACAGCTAGCCAATGAAAAACAAAACGGCAGCGGTCCCGTCGCACTGTTCATCCGAAAGAACCCGGAATGATGCAATTTCAATTCTCAAGTTTGCCTGGGCAAGGTGCTGGCGATTTAACAGGGAAACTGGATAAAGGATGACCTCTTCTTCAACAAGGCTGTTCCAATTCTTTGCTATGAAAGCTCTACCGATGGCATCATCTAACCGCACCCTTTTCCTCCCCTCCCCCCCCACGACACTCCACGATGCCCTCGACAAACAGTTCACCCCTATATTTCAATTGGCACGCTTTCCAACTCCTCCCTCCCCCCGGCATTCCTTTGCGCCTCTCCTATATGATTACAACAGGGGTACTACATTCTCTGTACTTGAGGCGGGTTCTGGAGAAACGATGTGACTGGGCGTTCCGCCTTTGCTGTGTCATGCCCATTCAGCTCTCTGTCCTCCTCGTCCGACGACCCTCCTTTTTCATCAGGTTGTGCCTTGGTATCTGACTTCGGTTGACCTTGCGACAGCAGCACCTCTTGCAACTCCTCGTCGCGCCTTTTCCCCTCCTGATCCTTGTGTCTCGCCTGGAGCTCCCTCGCCTCTTGACATAGCGCCAGCTGATGACACAGACAGGTCACCACAAAGTCTTCACAGGGCGCCTCTTCGAGATTGTACTTCTGTCGGATCTTAGTCCTCACTTCATATGCGTAGCACGGCGAGAGGGTTATCGGAAACAGAAGGAAGCCAAGGAAGGAGGTAACACCACCCAGAGCAGCATGAATGCAGCAGCCAGTCGCCAAGCGAAGGCGGTGACGGCCGTGTTCGGGAGGATCGGCCTCCGTCGGCTTACAACAAGCACAACTGCTGACGACTGCCCTCCCCGGAGTCTCGTCCCAATTGACGACTTGCAAGTACGTCTCTCCAAATAACCAGCAGGGAACAAAACAGCCCTTCAGACAGATGTCCCTTTCCTTCAAGCACTCCGTAAGATCGCTCTTCCAGGGACTTGGAAAGCCCGTTGGCCGAAACAACCCGTAATTTTTCATATCTTCGATTTGCTTCTCGCACTCCCCAATCTTCGCGTTCTTCTTTCTAACCAGTCGCCGTAAGCGGTCTTGGACTCGCTTGTTCTCCTCCTCCATTCGCAATATACGCTCTTGACTTTTCTTCATCTCTTCCTCCATCTGGACTATGCGCTCCATCTCTTCCAGTTCACTGTCAACAATATCTGATATTCTTGATCCCACCCGCGAGATACCTCCCTCCCCAACAGACGAGGGGGACCTGCGTGGCCGGCCATCAGCCCCAAAACTTCCTCTGCGATCTCCACCAACACCATCCTGTGAATCTGGCAGTGGATGAGAAGGATAGTTACGATCCGCTGCCGCAGGCGGATATCCTGGTCTTTCAAAACTTCCCCGCCGATCTAAACCGCTTGCCATCTCCACAATACCTCTCTCTCTCTCTCTCTCTCTCTCTCTCTCTCTCTCTCTCTCTCTCTCTCTCTCTCTCT